CCCTGCTGGGAAGACTCACCTTGCTGATCTCTGTCAGGGACATGGTGATGCTGTAGAGCTGGTTCTTACTGGTGCTGGCGACCAGAGTTTCCTCTGAGGGGCTGAAGCACAGGCAGAGAATGTCCTGGTTGTCAGACTGACTTGGGTCACTGCTCTGTGGGTCCACAGGAAGCTGCTCAAGATGCAAAACAGCTATCAGTAATGTTCCCGTGGTGTCAGTGTGTCCTCAGGCTTTCAGAGTTTTCTTGGATAACTTTAGCATACAGACTCTCAGACTAGGCTGCTTCCTGGGATCCCCCTATTGTTTGTTTGTTTGTTTTTTGAGAGAGGGGCTGGCTCTGTCACCCAGACTGGAATATAGTGGCATGATCTTGGCTCAATTCAGCTTCCACCTGCCAGGCTCAAGCCATCCTCTCACCTCAGCCTCCCAAGTAACTGGGACTATAGGTGCACAACTCCATGCCCCACTATTTTTTTTTTTTTTTTTTTTGAGACAGATTCCTGCTCTGTCACCCAGGCTGGAGTGCAGGGTACACCAACCTCTTGGCTCACTGTAACCTCCACCTCCATGGTTCAAGCAATTCTAGCTGGGATTACAGACTCGTGCCACCATGCCTGGCTACGTGTGTGTGTGTGTGTGTGTGTGTGTGTGTGTGTGTGTGTATTTTGAGATGGAGTCTCACTCTGTTGCCCAGGCTAGAGTGCAGTGGCATGATCTTGCCTCACTGCAACCTCCACCTCCAGGGTTCACGCTATTCTCCTGCCTGAGCTGGGACTACAGGCATATGCCAACATGCGCAGCTAATTTTTGTATTTTTAGTAGAGATGGGGTTTTGCCATGTTAGCCAGGTCGGTCTCAAACTCCTGAACTCATAATTTTTGTATTTTATTTGTAGAGATGGGGTTTCACCATGTTGCCCAGGCTAGTCTAAAACTCCTGGGTTCAAGAGATACACCTCCTTCACCTCCCAAAGTGCTGGTATTAGAGGCATAAGCCAACATGACTGGTCAGCTTTCCTATTTTAAACTCCAATTCTGTTCACCTCATTCAAAACCTCTTTCGGGACAGGTAAGTCATCATTTCGCCATTTCTGCTCAGCAATCCCATCCCATCCCTCCCCATCAGATGCCTTCTCAGAGCACTGCTGCTGGGGAACAAATGCCAACAGGACACCCGTTTTGCTTTTTTCTTCCCTCCTTACCCTGATTTCTCTGCTCTCACGGTAAACATCCTTTTCCTCCATCTTCTCAAACAGCAGAACTCTCCCTGGCCCCGCAGAACAGGCAAATCCCTTTGAATAGGCTGCAATGGCAAACACCTGGGGCATGGACATCTGGCTGTGGCTACTGGCCGCCACCATCTGTTCATAGGAAGGGAGTGGGGAACTGACCGGTGGAAATTCAATCAGGCTGGAAACAAAGAAACAGCATACGCAATATACAGAGACAATCTCAAGGAGATGAATTCTGCTAGGCAGGAGAAAGAAGGCTGTCACTGGCTGTGCGAGAAACCACCCAATGATCCCCTTTTCCAGAGCCAAATGCTACCCTTTGGCCTGGGAACTGTACACAAACTGCACATAGCCAAGCCTAGAAGCAAGAGAGTGCTTGGGGCATGTGGAGTAGATGAAGGCGAGAGTTGTAGAGGAAGAGAGCCGCAGGTATGCTTAGGCCAAGCCAAGGAGTCTGGGCTTTGTTCTGGGAGGCCTGGACCCCAGGGCTGAAGGGCTGTGGGGGACTTTTTAGGAGGCTCCTACATAATTACAACAACGAAAAAGGATATGCCATTGGCATGGGGGGAAATGGTGGTGAAAATGGGAGGACTGAAGGTTACTGAGGAAGAAGAATCTACAGGATGCCACTGGGGTTGAGGGCTCAGGCTCTGGCATCAGAGAGATCTGGGTTTGACTCCTGAGCCTGCCACTTATCAGCACAATGATCTTGGGTAGCCCACTTACCTCTCTGATCCTCAGTTTCCTTGTCTACAAAATGGGCATGGTAATAGTATGAATGATATAAGGTAAGAATCAAATGGAAGTATTTATAAGGTGTATAAAGCAGTGTCTGGTGCATGCAATGGTACATCCCAATACACAGGGGATATGATTTTTACTGGTTGTCATAGAGGTAACATGGCATCTCTATTACAGTGGTCAATAGCCACTCCTTCCTGAGACCGTACTTTACCCATATCCTCTGTCAGATTTACCTAAAACATTTCCTTGCACTTGTTGGTCTGTTGCCTTCTGCTGAACTGTAAGTTCCTTGAGGACTTGTGTCCCCAGCATTTAGCAAGAGATGCTTTTGTACACTGCAAGGGCTTGGTGGACATGAATCAATTCATTAAATTAGCCCCTGGAAAATATATTTTCTAAAAACTATGGTTTTGAAGACTAGTCATAATATAATGCTTACATAATGAGGTTAGGTATAAAAAAATGAAAAGCATTATATCTAGCCTACAGTTATAACTGTTAAATTCTGTGCTTGAATACAGATGAAAACTACAAAGGAAGAGGGAAAATGGGCATAGTTGACTTTTATGGTAGAGGGGTTCTGAGTGGTTTCTAGAGAATGCTGTCTTCTGTATAATACTGTCAGTAGAATGAATGTGGGAGCACCATTACCTCTCTGATTCCTGGATGACATCCAGGCTCTTTGAGCCAAGGGTGGGTTCCTTGACCACGATGCTGGTCTCCCAACGCTGATCTCCAGATTCAAAGAGGAAGAGTTTGCCTGTGTCGGTGCCAACGATAATCTTGTCATCGGCCACCCAGGTGTGCGCTAGATAGTTTTGGAGTTCTCCCCTCTGAAAATTGGTTTGCTTCAGGGTTCCCTCCGTAAAACGGAGAAGCTTAAACATCCCATTTCCAGTCACACACACCTGAGTGTTATCCTGGGGACTGAAGCTCACCTGTAAAGTGGGAAAGAATTGAAGAAAAGGATTTATAAAACTAATCCAGATGGAATTACTTTCCATTTTACACATTAATATTTATCTCAGGCTGCTCAGAATATCTCTTGAACATCATAAAATCATGTAATTTTATGCTGCATTTGATAAGGGCACGCATCTATAATCCATTATATTTATAGGGATATGAGTCAAACTAGGAAATCTATAAAGTCCAAAGAGCAGAAGGAGCAGCTTTTGACAACAGCCACATCCAGTGCCAACAAAATGGAATAAAGCTCAGCTGGAAACAGAAAAAATGAGGGTCTGTCAGGTTTACATAACTCTGTCCAGGAGGAAAGAAAGCACATCAAGGGATGCTATGTTGTCCACTGCCGTCTGAATATCCTTCCACCACAGCTCTTATCCCAATGCACACGTGCTCCTCTACTTACAATGGGATTGTGTCCTGATAAATCCATCATAAGCTGAAACAGTGTAAGTTGAAAATGGGCAAAGCCATGTGGCCACACAGCACCACACTGTACAGTACTGTGGTTGTTGCCCTCGTGACTGAGTGGCTGACTGGGGCTGTGTCTGCGGCTGCTGCCCAGCACCATGAAAGCGTATTGCTTGGTCTCTTTCTCCTGAGTGCATATCGCTCTTGTACCATTGTAAAGACAAAAATTTTAAGTTGAACCATAGTAAGCTGAGGACTACCTGTATAGTAATAGGCAGTCAACCTGCTGTCCTGGCTGGAGAGTGAGGAACTTGAGGGGCTATGACTTTTTCGTCTCTGTTTTCCCAGTGGTGATTCATCATGGGCACCCAATAAATAGTTGCTGAATCTACTTATTCAGAGCAGGAGGTGTTTGGTCAGGTCTCACTGTGGCCTGGTTGAAATACCCTTCTGGTTATACCTGCCTTTGGTCTGATTCTGGAATAATCAGCTTTCTGATTACTATTATAATCTCACCTCTCAACTTCTCTATTACTAGGAAGGGAATACACTGGATAAATGATGTAAGCGTTCTGGTTGTAATATGCTGGCTTTCACATGTGTCTTGTGAGATGAATAGCTGAGTCTATGTCAGAGACACTGATTAGCTGGAATCTCTAAACATGAACACAACTGAGTCGTTGAACTTGTGGAATTGAGTGCTAGATCCTAGACTAGGGTGACTGATCCAAGATCAAACCTCTTTGGGACCCCCTGCCTGAGCCATCAATCAGGTTCCTGAGGAATCTTCTGTTTGCCCTCAAGCCACAATGGAAGGTTCTGCTCCTTAAATAACTGCAACTTCATCCACAGTTTCCTTAAAGAGCTACCACTTTAAATCACGTTTCTGAAATCTTCCTACTGCCCAGCAATGCTGCTGGAAAGAGACTAGGACCAGGGAGAGAAGGCAGGTATTTTTTTTTTTTTTTTTTTGAGACAGAATCTCACTCTGTTGTGCAGGCTGTAGTGCAGTGGTGCAATCTCGGCTCACTCCAACCTCTGCCGTCTGGGTTCAAGTGATTCTTCTGCCTCAGCCTTCCGAGTAGCTGGGACTACAGGTGCCCGCCACCATGCCTGGCTTATTATTATTATTTTTGTGTGTTTTTAGTAGAGATAGGGTTTCACTGTGTTAGCCAGGATGGTCTCAATCTCCTGACCTCGTGATCCACCTGCCTCGGCCTCCCAAAGTGCTGGCTTTACAGGTGTGAGCCACCCTGCCTGGCCAGCATCTACTTCTGGGCTAAACCAGTGACCAGAATGCGGTTCTGGGCCAGAGAAAAGAAAACAGGAGCTGAGTCGGGGAACTCTTAGCTCTGCTACTCACTACCTCTGTGATCTTGAGCGAATTACTTAACCTCTTGGAGCCTCAGTTCTCTCATCTGTAAAATGGGGATAATGATTGTACATACCTTGTATGGTTACTATAAGATTAAATTTTAAAATGCATAGAGGAAATCAGAACTGTGGTACATAGAAAGCATTCAATAAAAAGTAGTTCTATTTTTTAAACATTTTCACGATACTTGTCGAGCTACTAGGTACCTGGTAGACAGGGTTGTTCTGAGTGTCAGTTCTAACAATGGCCATTACTTTCTGTTTTTCCCACAGCCAGTAGACAAGATTTGACTCTGGAGGGGATGTCTGGGCCAACAGGTATTTGGAGTCTGGAGAAAAAGCCATGCTAATGAATTTCTGAACTTGGAAATCAAAATTATTAAGAACTCTTCGCTTCCGGCAAGGGATGGATGACAGTTCATAAATGGTAATGACAGGTTTTTCCTGCACAGTCTCAGAGATAGCGAGGTACCGCCGATTGGGGCTGATGGACAAGGCCAACATGGCCTGACTCCTGTCTGAGCCTGCAAACAGAGGAAAGGAAAAGGGAAATAATGAGGGGAGGTCACACTTTCACCAGGATTTAACAGGAAAAAGGCACGGTAATGTGTAGCGGGGAGATCCCATAAGTGCCCAGGCAGGAGCAAAAAGCCTCGGCCTGTTTCCATATAAATAATGAAGAAGAAGGTAACTAGAAATATATCCATAGTAGTTACTAGTTATTTATATATGATCTTAGTTATTCATAGGTGATCTTAATTCTTTTTCTAATGCCTCTCAGGTCGGAAGTGTGAACCTAGGGTGACATTGTGAAATCAATGACACTAAGGCAAGATGCTCTAAGCCCTCTGTCACGCCCACATAAGGGCTGCTGGAGGGCACCTTGGCTGTGCAGCAGCGCCAGTGCTGTGAAAGCGCCCGCTGTTCAGCCAGCTAGGGAAGAAGACGTGCCAAATAGCTGAGACGTCTCCTTCCCTGGAGGAGTTAGGAGAAAACTCCGCTTCTCCAAGCTCTTGTGGCAAGACCTGATGGCTGTCAGGTAAACCCACAGACATCCGGGGCTTAACTGTCTCTATGTGATGCTGTGCTTCAGCGGTCACGTTCCATGTCGACTCTCATGTTCTGCTTCTGGATCTGGTTCCTTTTTTCTTGGAAAAGATAATCAGTAATAGTAATAGAAATGTTAATGTTTTTGTTCTTTCTTGGTAAGTATGGAAAAGGTGCTGATGCATCATGCTCCTTACTTCACTTCGGGTGCCAGAAATTCCTGAGCCCCTACCTGAGTGACACGTGATGTACCCCCAGTCTCTGACCACCATGACCACGCCCTACCTACCCCCAGATTTGCAACTCAATAAAAGTGAGAGCATCCCAGCATTTAGGGCCACTGCTGGTTTCTGTGATTTGGGTAGCAGTGGACCCCTGGGCCCAAACTCTCTTTTCTTGATTTCTGTATCTCGTGTCTCTTATTTCTACAATTTCTTGTCTCTGCACCAGCAGGGAACGGCTCACAGAACCCTGTAGGGCTGGACCCTATATCTGGTGCCCAACGTGGCAGTGGACCCTACAGTAGTGGGCACTGTAGTGGACAGTGGTAGACACAAAGAAGAAAGGCGGCCTTGGTATAGCTGTGTTTGGGCATTATGAAAATGACTAGGGGCCAGGTGTGGTGGCTCATACCTGTAATCTCAGCACTTTGGGAGGCCAAGGTGAGTGGATCACTTGAGATCAGAAGGCTGAGGCAGGAGAACTGCTTGAACCTGGAAGCGTGGAGGTTGCAGTGAGCTGAGATCGTGCCACTGCACTCCAGCCTGGGAGACAGAGCGAGACTCTGTCTCAAAAAGAAAAGGACTAGGGCAGGTGCCTCTGAGGATGAGGTGGGAGGAGAAGTCAGGGAAACATTCCTGAAGGAGGGCAGGGGGCAAGGTGAGATGGGGGCTGGGCGGAAGGTGGCAGGAAGAGCTTGAGCCAAGGGGTGGATGTGATGAAGGGTACAGCATGGTGAGAGAATGGCAGGCAGTGGATGCTGCTAGAGCATTTGAGACGAGGTGACCAAAGATGGGCTTAAAGGGGTGGAACAGGGTCAGATCATAGAGGCCTTTATTCCGTGAGTGGCTAGCTTACCACTCCTCCTCTACTCCAGAGGCTGGGATGCCAACTACTAGATTCCTTGGCCTCCCTTGCAGTTAGGTGACGTGTGTGACATTCTGGCCATGAGATGGATGCAGAGGTCTTCTGGAGTGGCTTTATGATAAAGCCAGTGCTTCCCTGAAAACGAGACAGATGCATTCTATCCCCTTTTCCCTGAAATCTAGAGGTGATGTGTGGAGACAGAGCACTCATCCTGCAACTGTGAGTAAGAATGAAAATGAAAGCTGTGATCCTCAGGCGAAGATTAAAGTGCAAATGCTTTATTTGGGAAGTGCAGTCAGGGACACGTTATGATTTTTATGGGCTATAGGTACTTCTGATTTCATGGCCCCCTTCCTCATTAAAAAATGTTTAAAAATATATTTAGATATTATTTTAAAATATATACAGTAATATACTTTATGACTGTATTGGTATAAAGAGAAATATAATCCAGACTGGATTCACTATTACATATTCATGTTTTTTCTGATATTCAAAAAAAATAGTAAAACATTTTCTTAGGTCCTCAAAAGTATTGTGGGTCCTGGGCACTGTGTCTAGTGGATAAGTGGACGGTGGATACAGGCCCAGGGCAGGGAGCATGAGTGAGGCAAGGGAAGATGAGCTAGAGAGTGCTGTGATGGGTCCCCATGTGATGGGTCCCCCTGCTGCTGCTTCACAACATGCCAAGGAGAGATGCAGCAAGTTGCTCAGCAGGCGTGTGTGCCCAGCCCATGGGAATTCTCCGGAAGGGATGCAGAGAATAGCTGTGGCTCAGAGAAGATCCCAGGTTTTAGGTCACCGAGAGCCTTGCACAAGAGGTTGGACTTCACCTGGGAGGTCACTGAAAAATTTTAGGAAGGGTGACATGTGTGTTGTAGATCCTTCTGGCAGCTGTCTGGAATACAATCTTGGAGGGAAGGAAAGTGGTCAGTAGATTATTTCAAAACTGAAAGGGGATGGCAGAAAGATGCAATGAGAAGGCAGCAGGGGCAATAGGAATGGGGAGGAATGGGGAGGAGGGGAGGTTAGAGAGATGCTAAGAGGTAACATCAGTAGGACTCAGTGACCACCTGGGTGAGGGGGAGAAATGAGGAGTGAATGACACTCAGGGTGCTAGTTTAGGTGACTGGGGGTACTGGGACACCTGTGAGGGAACATAGGCTCAGAAAGTTAGGAGTGATGGGGGAAAGTATGTCCATCATCTTTTGCTTAAAATAGCCCATCCAAGTATTTGATATTTGTTTATGAAATTTTTATACTTCCATCTTTAGTCCAGCTAGGGTTTATGATGATAAAAGATATAAAGCATGAAGTGAGGATCTAAATTGATTTCCATTTCCCAAATACCTGACTGGTTTTCCCAGGACTGACAAGTAAGGCCATCTTTATGATATCAAAGTTACTAGGCCAGGCATGGTGGCTCACACTTATAATCCCAGCACTTTGGGAGGCCAAAGCAGGTGGATCACTTGAGGTCAGAAGTTCAAGACTAGCCTGATCAACATGGTGAAACACTCTCTCTACTAAAAGTACAAAAATTAGGCAAGTGTGGTGGCAGGTGCCTGTAATCCCAGCTACTTGGGAGCCTGAGGCAGGAGAATCATTTGAACCCGGAGGTGGAGGTTGCAGTGAACTGAGATTGCACCACTGCACTCCATCCTGGGTAACAGAGTGAGACTCCATCTCAAAAAAAAAAGATACTGAAGTTACATATTTATAGACATATTATTGGGTTTCTGCGATATTTATGAACTACAGGCACACACCACCATACCAAGCCAACATTTTAAGTCTTTTGTAGATATGGGGTCTTACTATGTTGCCATGCTTGCCTCAAACTCCTGGGCTCAAGTGATCCTCCAGCCTCTGACTCCCAAATTGTTGGGATTACAGGTATGAGCCAACATGCCTGGCAGGACCACATTGTTTTCGTAATCATATCTTTATCATGTGCTTAAATATCTAGTAAGGTAGTGTCTTAAGGAAAGAGAGGGAGAAGAAAGGAAAAGATAAATCAATCTCATAAATATGTGTGTGAGGTACACATTGTGGAACAGTTGGGTATGGAGGTCCAGCAGTTGGATATGGTTCTAAAGCTAGGGGAGGGTTGAAGCTGAAAATACAGAATTGAGGTTAAAAAGTATAATGTAAAGCCTAGAGGAGGCAAAGGCACACTGCTCACTCCTATTGTGCTTTTGTGCCAGGCTCCTACCTGGCATAGCATTTGTCCTGCTCATTTACACAGTCCTACTCGTTTGAATACACACCTGCCTCCACTACAATACTAAGAGCTCCTGGAGGGCAGAGGCCATGACTATCTTGCTCATTCATTCGTTCATTCATTCAATCACCAATGTCTGGTATACAGTATGTTCTTGATATATGCTGACTGATTTTAGAGTTTATAAAACGCTTTTGCATTGTTTCGACCCAGCTGATGCCTCTCTTCTCCTCCTTGAAATATTTTCACTTCTCACATAGATATCCTGTGATTTTTTGGCCACTCCTCCAAAGCCTCTTTTGCTGATTCTTCCTCACTTCCCCAGCACTAAATGCAGTAGTGCTCAGAGCTCACTCTTTCAGCTTCTTCCCTTTTATAAATATATTCACGCTCTAGGGCAGGGGTCCTGAACCCGTGAGCCACTGATGGTACCTGGCCACACAGCAGGAGGTGAGCAAGCATTACTGCCTGAGCTCAGATCAGTGGCAGCATTAGATTCTCATAGGAGCACAAACCCGAATGTGAACTGTGCATGTGAGGGATCTAGGTTGTATGCTCTCTGTGAGAATTTAATGCCTGATGATCTGAGGTGGAACAGTTTCATCCTGACACCATTCCCTGTGCCCTCTCCATCGCGTTCATGGAAAAACTGTCTTCCATAAAACCTACCCCTGTTGCCATAAAGGTTGGGGACCACTGCCCTAGGGAAGCCTCATCCACTCTAACAGCTTTAAATTTTACCTCTAGGCTGATGACCCTCAAATTCCTATTACTAGCCTGGACTTCCCTTCCCTTAAATCCAGACCTGAAATCAACCTGCTTACTGAGCATCTCCATCTAAATATCTAGCAGGCACCTCAATCTTAAGAGGTCCAAAACCAACCTGCTCCTTTGTTAGTCCTTTGCATCACAATCAACAGCAACTCCATCCTTTCCATGCTCAGGCCCAAAATCTTGCTTCTTCCGTTCTGCTTCCTCCCCACATGGGGTCTATGAAGAAATCTGTCCCCTCTACCTTCAAAGCAGATCCAGGATTGGTCTCTTCACACCACCCTGTTGCCTGCCTCTACCTGCTCTAAGTGCCATTTCCTCTCACTTGGATTACAGCAATCATCCCTCAGCTGGTCTCCCTGCTTCCTTTCTCACCCCTCCTTAAATCTGTCCACTGTACAGAAGCCAGAATGAACCTGGGGAAACACAGATCATGTTACTGCTCAGACTGCACCCTGCATAGCTTCTCATTTGACTCCGAGTAAGAGCTCATGAGCTGCAAGGCCCTCTGTGGTGTTGCTCCCCATTCTTTCTCTGCCTCCCCTCTTGCTCCTCACCCTCTAGTTCTTACCATTCCAGCCACACTGGCCTCCCAGCTATTCCTCCAACACAATAAGCACCGTCCTAACCCGAGCCTTTGCTATTCTCTGCTACTTCCCCTGCCCCTCCCACTTCAGCATGGCTGGCTCCTTCCCTTCCTTCAGTCTTCACTCAAAAATCACTGCTCAGTGAGCCCTCCCCAGTTTCCCTATCTACAATTTCACACTCCCCCGACAGTTTCACCTTCCTGCTTCATTTTTTTCTTGGCTATCTAACATGTAGACATACCATTAAGTACGTCTTTTTGTTTGTCATTCTCCCCTCCTAGAATGGATGCACTGTGAGGACAGTGTTTTGTGTGCACGTGTGTGTGTCTATTTTGTGCCTGGAACACAAGGGGTATTCAATATATTTTTGTTGAATGAACAAATGAATATGTCAAGCCTTATCATGATTGTGAGCTGAGCAAGCTGAGCATCATCTCCCTCGTACAGATGAGGAGACTGAGGTTCTGTGAGCTTATAAAATGGAAAGCCAGATCAAATCCAGATCTCCCAATGTCATGAACTTTATATTTTTCCCTTTACCAGTAATATCCTTAGACTTGGTCAGTGGAGAGCCTACCTTGGGCCTCAAATTTTAGAGCATGCTTCTCTGGCTGTACCCCTTACCATTATGTGGGATACAGGGGCTGCCTGGAGTTTGTGCTGCCTCCTCTAGATCATGTTCTAAGTTCACAGGACTCTGGAGTTCCGTGCCCAGATGGTCCTGAGCCTGCTGACAAGACCAACATTGGTTTCTTCCCAGGCTGCCTCTACTCAACCTGGACCTGCAGGATGGGCACAGGGTGGTTGTTTATAGAATACATGGATAGAATTTGAAAATATGGGCTGCGAGGATCCACCCACATGTGTACAAGGCCCCTGGTGATATAAGATGGAGTTAGGAGCAGAAGAGAAGTGGTACAAGTCAGAGGTGTTAGAATATGAGTATAAGAAATGAAATTAAAATCTCAATGGATACATTAAACATTAAGTTAGATGCAGCAGGAAAGAGAAGCACTGAGATAAATTTAGATTGAGAGATAAACCAAAGGAATTATCTGGAATGCAATACAGAGAGACTAACATAAAAAATCCAAGTCAGAGTTCAAAACAAAACAAAACATGAACTTCAGGTGTGGTGGCTTGCACCTGTAATCCCAGCTACTTGGGAGGCTTGAGTCCAGGGTTAAAGACCAGCCTGGGTAACACAGCCAGACCCCATCTCCATTAAAAAAATTAGCTGATCAAGGTGGTGCATGCCTGTATTCCTAGCTATTCAGGAGGTTAAGGTGGGGAGAATGGCTTGAGCCCAGGAGTTTGAGACTGCTGTGAGCTATGAATGTGCCACTGCACTCTAGCCTGGGTGACAGAGCAAGACCTGGTTTCTTAAGAAAAAAAAGAGGCCGGGCATGGTGGCTTATGTCTTTAATCCCAGCACTTTGGGAGGCGAGGCAGGCAGATCATGAGGTCACAGTTCAAGACCATCCTGGCCAATATGGTGAAAGCCCGTTTCTACTAAAAATACAAAAACCAGCCAGGCATGGTGGCAGGTGCCTGTAATACTAGCTACTCGGGAGGCTGAGGCAGGAGAATCGCTTGAACCCAGGAGGTGGAGGTTGCAGTGAGCCGAGGTTGCGCCACTGAACTCCAGCCTGCACAACAGAGCGAGACTCCATCTCAAAGAAAAGAAAAAGAAAAAGAAAAGAAAAGAAACAAAGAAAAAAACTGTGGAGTATGGAGCTGAGATGGTTTGGAATTCCAGAAGGAGATGACAGAACAAAAAAGATACCTGTCCTTAGATGCAGGAATCTCAAAGAATCCCTAGGAGGATAAAAAATGAAAAAAAAAAAACCCCACTATATTCTCTGTGTGTGTGTGTGTGTGTGTGTGTGTGTGTGTATATATATATACACACACATATGTATATACACATGTATATATGGTGTATATACAAATACATATACGTATATGGTATGTGTATATATGATGTGTATATTATACATATATATGTATATGTATATACACATCATATATACACATAGACAGAGAAGATATTAAACATCCAGAAAAAAAGATCATCTGTAGACAGACGACGGTGATAAGCTAATTTTTTAACCATGGCAACAAAATGGAAGCCAAAAAACTACAATGGACTCTGATCTATAATGTGCTGAATAAAAACTGTATACCTGTTGTAACTATCTTTCAGAAGTGAGGATAAAACAAAGTCATTTTCAGACAAAAACTGGGAGAGTTTATCAACATATTATCAGTAAATGCAGAAGGAAAATGATCCTATCAGGAATATCTGATTTGCAAAGAGTAATGGTAGGCAAAGAGTTTAGTAAGTATGAGAGCAAATATAAATTAATGTTGTCTGCATAAAACCATCATTTAATTGATATTGGAAAGTCATATGTTCTTTTTTGTTTTCATTTTTGTTTTTGAGACAAGTTCTTGCTCTGTTGCTCAGGCTGGAGTGCCTTACCCTTCCAAGTAGCTGGACCACAGGTATCTGCCACCACGTCTGGCTAATTTTTAAATTTTTTTGTAGAGATGGAGTCTCTCCATGTTGCCGAGGCTGGCCTTGAACTCCTGGGCTCAAGCAATCCTTCCACTTTAGCCTCCCAAAGTGCTGGAATTACAGGCGCAAGCCACCATGGCTGGCCAGTCATATAATCTTACATAAAACTCAGAATATGCAGCAATAAAATTTTGTATTTATTCGGGGGCAGGGGATGAGGCACAGCAAATTAGAAAAAGAAAGAATTTCCTTAACCTGATAACGGACATTAACAAATGCCTGCGACAAACATCCTTCTTTCTAAGGAAATGTTAAAAGAATTCTCTTTGAGATCAGAAACATGCAACAGGATGTCCATTTTTATTGCCCGTATTCAACACTGTCTGGAAGTGGTTACCAGCACAGGTAACACAAGAAAAAGAAAGAAAACCATTGATATTTGTAGATAATATGATAGTCTATGTAGAAATCCCTGCATAATCTATAGATAAATCATTAGAATTAATAAGTTACCAAATATGCTGGAAACAAACATAAATAAATAAGTCAATTGTATTTAATACAGTTTATTCCAACAGAATATTATGTGGTTGATAACTCTGACTTTATTAAAACTAAGAATTTTTGTCCATCAAAAGATACCGTAAGAAGGGAGAAAATGCCCCAAACTTATTTGCAAGACATATATCTGACAAATTATTGGTATAGAGAATAAATTGTGCAGGTAAATCAATAGAACTGCCCAAAAATACCCTGCACAAAAAAACTATAAAAAACAAGTAAAAGACTTGAACAGGCATTTAACATATGACCCAATAGGAATAGCCCGTAAACACATAAACAGATACTCATCATCACTAATGATAGAGAAATGCAAACGAAAACCACAATTCTTTTTCTCAACCACCAGATTAGCAAAAAATTAGGAAATTAGACAATACCAAGGGTTGGCATGGTTGGCGAGGAATGAGAACTCTTTTTTTTTTTTTTTTCCCAATCAGTTTGAGCTTATAAGGTTGCTCAGGTTAGCCTTGAACTCATGACCTCACCTTTGCAAGCGCCACGACCTCCGGCCGGAGCCACTTTGGACCCCGGAATGAGAACTCTTAAGCACTCCTGGTAAGAGTGTAAATTGGTACTATCATATTGCTTAGTAATTTTAGTCCTGTCTGTGTGCCCTAGAGAATCTGCACAAATAGATGAATGTATATGCATGCAAGAATATTCATAGTAGTATAGTTTGTAATAGAAAATGGCTGTTGTTTCCCAAATGTCCCTCAACACTAGAATGAATACATATATTTGAGACATTACATTCATATGAGGGAACACTGCATAGCAATAAAATGAACTTGGTTGTATGTATCAAGATGCATGAATCTCAAAAGCATGATATTGAACTGATGCAGCAAGATACAGAATACAGGGAGAAACACTAGAACTGGTAATATTCTATTTCCTATGCTGGGTGGCTGGGTTCACAGATCTACATTCTATTGTAATTCTTTAAATATTACATATATGTAGGGCATATTCTTTTGTATGTATATGTTACAATAGAAGGTGTCAATGCAATCAAGAATGGGAAAATGGATTCCGTTGTTGAAATCATTTACATTATCAACAGGACCAATATGAACAAAAATAAGGGCTGTAATATTATACAAATGGTTATTTGCGACTTGGGATAAAGTTTACAGTGTCTTCCTCATACATGGATTCAAAAGGTGATGTAATGAAGGTGGTGTGCTCGAAAACTGTTAGACAACTCAAAAAGTGGCTCTGGTGATGACAAAGACAATGATACTGAAGATACGAAAAGAGGAATATTTTCATGAAAATATCAAAATATCATAAAACATTTTCATGAAATTACAGTGAAAAAAGTACTTTTAAATTAATATTTTACATGTGATTTTTAACTACGCACACGTGACTGATTAATCTAGTTTCATAATACAAGTTGCCATTTATTTCCTCTACATTTATAAAACTGCATATATATTCAAATTGGCCAAAATCTTTCTTTCCAGTCATCTTGTTGGGATTATGGGGTTATATGTGGCACATACCATTCCTGTATATGTTAGAATGGAAAGGGTTTTACCTGGAATGAATTTTTGCCATTTCTGATCCACATTGTACTTCACACAGTAATTTCCTGAAGGAAATATAATGATCTGTTCATCGAAGTAGAAGATATTGTTGGCCACGTGGGATCGAAGACCAAAAACATGCAGCGACTGAGCTACCACGGCTGACATGGTTTCGCGCCAAAGAGCTCTGCTGAAGATCGGGGCAGAGCTTGAGAGTGGAGAACATCGCCACGCCTCGGCCCCGCCCCCGGCCGGGAAGCGACCCGGCCTCCAGGACACGCCCCTTCCCGCCCCTTGCTCCTCCCCTTCCCGCCCCCGAAGTCCTCCTCCGAGCCACCCCTGCCCCCGCGGCTCCTTTTTCTCCCTTTTCCTTGTACGCTCACTGCTATCAGCTCCTTCTGGCGACCCTCAGGTACCCCCTCCTACCTTTAGCTTCTCTCTGGGTCAGCAGACCAGGTATCCAGAGGCTCTACCTGAACGGATCCGAAGCGACCTGGGAACGCTCAAACGCCTTAGCGGTTCCTATAGCAACGACAAACCGGATGTATGGTCTGCCGCCGGAAGCGGAAGTCCCAATCAAAGAGTTGAGCAGTAGCTTTGAGTTACTGGCGCTGGTGAGACTTGGTGGCACGTGGAGCCAAGCCGTGGGAGTAGGGGGCTGAAGGCAGGCAACAGCGGCCAGGGCCGCCCTCTGCTAGCCGCTTGGGATACCCGGCTTCTTCCGGTAGGTGTGGGACGGGCGTGCGGCTAGATGGACACTCCCCCGCTCTCGGGTTCGGAGTCGGAGTCCGATGATTCCCTAGTCACAGACAGAGAGGTAGGTGTGAGCCGAGCTCACGGTGGGTGGGCGTGGGAGAGGGGGCCTTACCCCCCTGGGAGTGACCGTGCTTCTGTCCTGCAGTTGCAGGATGCGTTTTCCCGAGGGCTTCTGAAGCCAGGCCTCAACGTCGTGCTAGAGGGGCCGAAGAAGGCCGTGAACGACGTGGTGAGCTGGGGTGCTGGGTACTCGGATATGGGATGCGCACCAGGCGCTGTTGGGCTTGGGAGACCGATTCTTGTCCCAGGAAAGACGCACCCTGCACCTTGCCAAGAGGGTCAATTACCTGTCCGGGTATTGGGGATTAGCGGTTTGTCCCTTGGCCTTGCACCCTGTGCTTGTCAAAGACAAACTCAAGAGTTTCCCTTCTTATGAGTTCAGTGTCTGGATTTCCTAGAATGGCCTGAAGCAGTGTTTGGCAGAGTTCAAGCGGGATCTGGAATGGGTTGAAAGGCTCGATGTGACACTGGGTCCGGTGCCGGAGATCGGTGAATCTGAGGCGCCAACACTTCAGAACAAGGACCAGAAAGCTGTTGATCCAGAAGACGACTTCCAGCGGGAGATGAGTTTGTATGTTTGTTTTAAAATGTTGGAGAAGTTGAGTATTCTTACGCAGGAGAGTGAGAAAGAGGAGAAATTAATAAACCTGCACTCAGAAGAGGCAGAAGAGTAGGGAGAATGGCTTCTTTTGACTGAGAGTAGCTAGGAGATTCTCCCTGTTTGAGAAAAGAGCTCCTTGGTCCATGGTCACGATTCAAAGTCCAGTTTATGGGCTAATTTGAAATACTCATGTTAAAGCTTTTTGTGCATGCTTCAGTTATTAGAAAAAAAAAAACCATTGCTTATGGGATGTTCTTGTGTGGAATTGCTTTAGTAATTACATTAAGAATCCATAGTTGACATTAGTTTGTTAATGGGTACCTTTAGAGTAGTCATTCTCTAAAACTAATTTATTTTTAGCAACATCCGTCCCCTTTTTAAAAAATGGTATATGGCTACATTTATTTCTTTCGAGATAGAGTCTCGCTCTGTCGCCCAGCCTGGAGTGCAGTGGTGTAATCTTGGCTCACTGCAACCTCTGCCTCCCAGGTTCAAGCAATTCTCCTGCCTCAGCTTCCTGAGTTGCTGGGATTACAGGTGCCCACCACCACGCCCGGCTAATTTTTGTATTTTTAGTAGGAACGGTGTTTCACCATGTTGGTCAGGGTTGTCTCGAACTGCTGGCCTCGTTGTCTACCCGCCTCAGCCTCCCAAAGTGCTGGGATCACAGGCATGAGCCACCGTGCCCGGCCTATGTTTCTTTTAGATACTAAATTAGTGAAGTTTGGTTACGGTTTTTGTTTGTTTGTTCTTGCTGATGGAGGTCAGATTTTGAGAGTCCGGTGAAAAGGAACGTAAGGCCCTTTTCCTTCACTTCATTACACCTTTTGTCCTACAATTCTCAGCTACCGCCAAGCCCAGGCTGCAGTGCTTGCAGTCTTACCCCGCCTCCATCAGCTCAAAGTTCCTACCAAGCGGCCCACTGATTATTTTGCAGAAATGGCCAAGTCTGATCTGCAGATGCAGAAGGTAAGAAATAGAAATTTTCCTCTAGAAAGCCAAAATTTTGTACTTAAGCATATTCAGCTGGCTTAGAAAGATAGGTATGGGTCCAATAATGGGGAGCCGTTGTCAGAGAACAATTATTACCTCTTCCAGAGATGGGCTACTTCAGAGTCATGCCAGTTACCACCAATTAGATGCATATAAGAATGACATTTTTTCTAAAATCAGCAATTATGGAGCGGAACAGTACTGTGAGAAGTGTGGTTCCTGAGATAAAGATGGCCCATTGCATTTCCTAGCTGGCTTGGTCATGGCATGGTGTGCAGAGAAGACAACATTCTTGTTGTACCTTTGCCACTGACAGTGCTAGAACTTGTAGACAATTACTTTTCTCTGGGCCTCAGTTTTCTCCTCTATAAAATGAGGGATTCTTAGATGCTCAGATGTAGTACAGTAAAGAGTTGGGTAGAACTTGGACCTCATTTAACTTTGGAGGAGGGGATTGCCAAAATGTAATCCAAGATATACTCGGCCCTCCATAGCCATGGGTTTGCATCTGTGAATTCAACCAAACTCGGATCAAAAATATTTGGTAAAAAAATTGAAAATGTTTCAAAAAGAAAACTTGAATTTGCCATGTGCTGAGAACTACATTGAATCCATGAGAATGAGGTGATGCGTAGCATTGTATTCGGTATGATAAGTAATCTAGAGACTATTTAAAGCAGAGTCTGGCAACCAAGGACTGGTTTTGTGGATGAAACTGGTCTGGAGGAGGGGATGGTTTCAGGATGAAACTGTTCCATCTTAGATCATCAGGCATTAGATTCTCATAAGGAGCATGCAACCTAGATCCCTTGCATGCACAGTTCACATTAGAGTTCATGCTCTTATAAGAATGTAATGCTGCCACTGATCTGGCAGGAGGTGGAGCTCAGGTGGTAGTGCTTGCTTGCCCACGAGTCACTTCCTCCAGTGCAGCCCAGTTCCTAACAGGCCACAGATTCATAGCACATTCATAGCAGTCTGTGGTCCAGGGATTGAGGTCCCCTGATTTAAAGTATACTGGAGGTAAGTGTAGGTTGTATGCAAATGCTACACCATTTCTATATAAGGGACTTGAGCATCTGTAAATTTTGTTGTCCATAGTGGATCCTGTAACTAATCCTCTACGGATACTGAGGGATGACTGTATTTAATTAGTACCCTTGGGTCTCATGCTGGATTTTAGGGAGCTTTTGTCTTGGTAGTAGTTCCCCTTCTCGCTGTGAACTCTGTATTCGTTCTCACTGACAACTTCTCATCCTTTAACTAAAATGTGTATGTTTGACTGAAAAGGCTAGGTACCTGATAATCTGCCTGGGTTTTTATTGTATATGTGGTATACCACAAAAGAGTGCTCAGGCTGCATACTGGTTTCCAGCTTCAGTCTACTGACAGTAGAAGTGAGGAGAAATTTGTCTTCTTTCCTGGACTTCAAATAGGCAGTTTGTATAATGAAACAGACAGCACACTGGGAGTGGGAAGGTGACTTTCCATCTCTGGCTTCACTGTGACACTTTTGGTAAAGTGTTCAACCTTTGGGCCACGTTGTCCTCAGGGGTTGGAATCAATGATTTATGAGTTCCACAGTTTTAGGGAATATCTGTTCCCTGCTCTAGTGCATCCTAAGCAGTGGTCATTCCAGATTCAAATACCATAAACTGACAGCATTTTGTGTTGTAGATTCGACAGAAGCTGCAGACTAAACAGGCTGCCATGGAGAAGTCTGAAAAGGCTAAGCAGCTGCGAGCACTTAGGAAATACGGGAAGAAGGTGAGAAGGAAAGTGTGCAGGGAATAGGAAGAGGCGGAGCCTGTGTGTTTGATGAGATTGCTGTGCTCTGACTTGGTCCCCTGAACTGAACTGTGTGTTGATCATGTGTTTACCATCTCTCGGTGTATGTGCTGGTATTCATGAGCACCATCTTGCCTGGACATGAGCGCTTCACCAGGAGTAGCATGGTGACTGCAGGCGAGCCATTCACTTCTCTGGGCTTTAATTTAAATTTTCAGATGAGCGGTTTCCAAACCTGACTTTATAGCAAAATCACCAGGGCAAATTTTTCAAAACAGAATTCTAGACTTCACAATCCCTGGGAATCTGTGCATGTTTCCCCCTCTTCCCCGAAAACTTTCCAGGTGATTCTGAAATGCATCCCGGTTTGGGATTCACTGGCCTGTGTGATAATCAGTCCCTGAAGAGGTTATTTTAATGATTGTCACCCAATCTGAAAGATTGCCTGTGTGTTTGAACTATGAACGTCTGAGTTCTTATGTAACACCAGATCAGGCATACTTTTCTTGGTTTTCCTTTTTTATTTCATGGTCATCTAAGAAAGAAGATGATGGGTTTTAAAGTTAGAATTATGGGAAGAAATGAATGTGAGGAAGATGGGCGTGGGTGTTGAGACTTTGTCAGCATTCGGACATAAGCATTTGTGATCTGGGCTGCAGAACTCTTGTCCACATGTGGGGTCGTTTCACTGATGCATTCTGAACAAAGTAAGAATAGGCCGGGATCCTGTCTCTACAAAGGGCCTGCCACGGATTTATTATTTCTTTGATCTGGAGGCAGATGGCTGAGATTATCTTAAAGACACCAATAATTAATTTAACCTAACCAAAGTTATTAAAAGCAAAGACAAACTCACTTGGGCCTATTAGTTCACTGTTTCTACTTTGAGGAAACATTGAGGAAGAGATTGTCAGCTGGGGTGAATTTGCTCCCCAGGAGTTTTCTGTCACTGCCTGAAGGTATGTTTAGTTGTCAAATGTGGGAGGGAGGGTGCTACTGGCATCTACAGGTAGAGGGCAAGGGTGCTGCTGAATGTCCCACAGTGCAGGACAGGCCCCTCCCCCCAGCAGTCTGTCCACAGTGTAGCAGTATCAAGATTGAGAAACTCTGTTAGAGTATTATAAAGTTTCTCCTTTTATTCTTAAAACCTTTTTCTTTTCTTTACCTGGGGACATTGTTTTTTTCTCTTCCTTTTGGTACTTTCATGCCTAGTAACAGTAAGTTAGATAGTTAATCTGTCCAAATATGATGGGAAAAATTGGATGTCGGCTTAAACATGATTTGCTGCAGTTTAGTAGGGAGGATTCTATAATAGAGTGAATGCTGGCTTTGGAGGCAAACAGCTTGGGTCATCTCAGCTGTGCACTTTTTCACTGTGCAACTTGGGCAGGTTAAATTCTGCGTGTTTCAGTTTAGGGGATAACACAAATTTCAACTTCACTGGATTGTTATGAAATAGATATATCTTCGTCTATGAAGAATATACCTAGATCTGAGAATATACTTAGAGCCCTTAACATAGTTTTTGGCACATAGTAAATGTCAAAGGGTAGCAGTATTAATCATGGTGTTGCTATTAAGAGAATGTGGACACTGGAGTAATGGTGTGGAATGGCTGTAACTGTCCTGGTGTTCATATCACAGGTGCAAACAGAGGTTCTTCAGAAGAGGCAGCAGGAGAAAGCACATATGATGAACGCTATTAAGAAATATCAGAAAGGTTGGTACCTCTCTCTGCTGGGGGAACAAGGGTAGCAGGTACTTTAGAGTTGATCTGAGCACTTAGTGCTTTGGAGCCTTCTTGGTTGATGTGGACCTATCGGATCTAAGTTTTGGAAATGGTGTTGGGGAGCAGGATGTCACTTTTAAAATCAGTGTGGCAAATAACAGCTTTATATGGTGGTTTCAACTTTTAAAATACAATGGTGCTGATCAGAACTGCTTCTTCACTTACAGGCTTCTCTGATAAACTGGATTTCCTTGAGGGAGATCAGAAACCCCCAACACAGGGCAAGAAGGCAGGAGCCAAAGGCCAGCAGATGAAGAAGGGGTGAGAAGTATTTTGGTATGGTTTCTTTGGTTCTGGGAGGTGCTGTGGGGCCATAGGTCACGAAGATGACAGGCGTAGCACCCCTACTGGCTCAGCTGTGAGTCCAGAGAATGCAGCTGCTGCCTGTGGCCAAGACTCCTAGCACTGTGTGATGGGTAATTTTAGCCATGTCAGTCTTTGAGGCATAAAAGAAGGCCCTTTTTAAACTTGTTTTTTTTTAAGACAGAGTTTAACTCTGTCACCTGGGCTGCAGTGCAGTGGTACAGTCTTGGCTCACTGCAACCTCTGCCACCTGGGTTTAAGTGATTCTTGTGCCTCAGCCTCCTGAGTATCAGGGACTACAGGCGCCCACCACCACACCCAGCTAATTTTTGTATTTTTAGTAGAGACAGGATTTCACCACGTTGGCCAGGCTGGTCTTGAACTCCTGGGCTCAAGTGATTTGCCTACCTCAGCCTCCCAAAGTGCTGAGATTATAGGCGTGACCACTGCACCCAGCCTAAGAAGGTACATTTAAGTATGTGGTACTCTTTAAGTAGATGCTGAGTAAAAGTTGAGTCCCCATCACACGGTGTGATGGTTGAGAGTTCAGGCCTAGGACTCAGACCCTGGCTCTGCCACTTAGTAGTAGGGCAGTTTTGAACAAGTTACCATACCTTTCTAAGTGCTAATTGCCTCATCTGCTAAGTTGAGGAAAGAGTATCTGCCTCATAGTATGAAGATTGAAAGAAGAATGCAGGCTCTTCAGTGTTTTGCATACCTGGATACCAGGCCTAGGGGAAATGATCATTTCCGTGTAAGGTAGTAAGTGCTATCTATGATAGAGGCATTTGGGGAGTAGTATTGAGGCAGCTTTTAGAAATACCTGATATGGGCTGGGCATGGTGGCTCATGCCTATAATCCCAGCACTTTGGGAGTCTGAGGTGGGCAGATCACCTGAGGTCAAGAGTTGGAGACCAGCTTGGCCAATATAGCGAAACTCTGTCTCTACTAAAAATACAAAAAATTAGCCAGGTGTGTGGTGGGCACTTGTAATCTCAGCTACTAAGGAGGCCAAGGCAGGAGAATCGCTTGAACCCAGGAGGAGAAGGTTGCAGTGAGCCAAGATCATGCCATTGCACTCTAGCCTGGGCAACAAGAGGGAAACTCTGCCTCAAAAAAAAAAAAAAAAAAAAAAAAAAAAATACCTGACAGGGTCTGGAGATGGATTTCTGGATTTCTGGAGGAGGGTTTGACTTGAGCATTGCCTGAAGCGTGAGTAAGAATTAACCACAAGAATAGGAGAGAAGCTGGGTTTGGGAAGAAGGAAGAGCTTGAAAGAGCAAAGCCATAGAGATGTGAAACCTCAGGGTTTTGTGAGGAACAGTAAGCCCTTGGTGTCACTGGGACTACAGTGCAAGGCAAGGAGGGGTGCGATGTGGCTTGGGAGACCTGCGCTGTTGGTTTGCCTTGTTGAGGAGCTTGGGGTTTGTCCAGAAGGCAGTGGGGAGACTAGGTTATAGGTTGTACTGACAATAATGAGCAAGTCATAGTCATGCTTTTAAAAAGATTACAGTGGATTTTGTATAAGTGAGGGACTTGAGGGAAGCTGGGAAATTGACAAGGAGACTAGTCCAGATGTGCAATGATAATAACCTGAAAGTGGCAACTGAGGGAGAAGAGAAGATGGACTGCAGGAACATTTAAGAGGTGAAATGAGCAGGACTCAGCAATTGAATTGGGTATAAAGTGAGAGAAGAACCAAGGCAGACTCCCACATGTTAGCCTGTGTGTCTGGGTTGGCAGGACCTGTGCCAGTCTCAAGTGAGCTCATATATACAGGAAGTAGAGCCAGTGCAGGAGGTGATGTGAATTTGGGGATGCTGAATTTGAGATCCCTATTGGATGACCTGTATTACATTTAATGTTAACTGCATATATTTACCCTTAAGAGGAATAGACACAACTGAGGATGATTTAACAAGATTTAGTTAAAATAGAAAGCTTTCCAAAGACACTAGGAAGCCACATGATGCATGTGGAGCCTTCCCTGCTTCTTGCTTTATTTTCCTGCCCTGGTGGTTAGAACTGTAAATAGTTGAGCTAGACGAGTGTATCTCGAGGGGCTGTAGCATAGGATTGTGGGGCCAAGGATGAGATTCTGGGTCACAGTAGTGCCTAAGGGGCTTTGCTCATAGAAAGAAAACTAAGAGTATTGCTGGGCCATCAGATTCATCAGACTTAACAGTGCTGCGGGTGATGTCTACGAACATTCTTTTCCAGGCCCAGTGCTAAACGACGGTATAAAAACCAGAAGTTTGGTTTTGGTGGAAAGAAGAAAGGCTCAAAGTGGAACACTCGGGAGAGCTATGATGATATATCTAGCTTCCGGGCCAAGACAGCTCATGGCAGAGGCCTCAAGAGGCCTGGCAAGAAAGGATCAAATGTAAGTGAGCCCAGGTGCCTGGGTGAAGAGCAGGCTCAGCCTCCCCATCCCACTTCCAACCCTCCCCTTTCCCTTCTCTTCTGTTCATCCTCACCCTCGGGCAGAAGGCAAGCTGCTATGTGACCAGATGTGGTATTTCTTTTTTTGTAGAAGAGACCTGGAAAACGAACAAGAGAGAAGATGAAGAACAGAACGCACTGAACAGCATCTTTGAATACAAAGAACCAAGAAAAAGGAATGAAGACTTTGCAGTTTCACAGCACATTTTTATCCCTTCTGTTGGTATCATGTTGTAAACGTTTCTTTCAATAAACTAAAAAAAATTACTAAACGAACACATACCTTTTGGTAAAATAGTCCAGACTAAAAGATTTAGATATTAAATGACATTGCTATCTATTTAGACATTGAGTTCAGATTGCCTTTATGTTATGATAAATGATGATTTAACTGACACCTCCCTCATTTCCTTTGCCTCATCCTTCTAAATAGTGATATTACAGTCAGTCCCTGTAGAGCTCAGTGCATTGTGGTAAGATTTCCTTTGTGGTACAGCTTTTGGCTTTTCCTCCAGTTAATCTTCACCTTGCATTCTTCTGCTTGCCTAATCTTCCTTCTGTATTCTTATATTCTTCGTTCTTTCCAGATGCTTTGTCATTTTACCCACTGTATAATTTTTCTCCTATAACCTAGATATGCCACACAACTGTCACCTTTTTTCTGGACCTTCTAAGTTGGCATCATTATTTCCAGAATCCCATATTTTCCCATCTTGGCATATGCTGCTTTTTCTGTGTACCATTTTTTAGTATCTTACTAAGAAAAGGAAGATGAGAGGTAAACTTTTTATCTCCTTGCATTTCTGAAATTGCCTTTAATTTGGCTGATAGGAATTTCCTCCTTAGAATTTTGCAGGCACTGTTTCTAGGTTTTTTTCAGTTCTAATTTGGGGGAGAGAGATTTCTTTATTTTTTAAAATATTTATTTACTTATATATTTTTTGAGACATAGTCTTACTCCATCGCCCAGGCTGGAATACAGTGACACAATCTTGGCTCACTAGAACCTCCGCTTCCTGGGTTCAAGTGATTCTGCCTCAGCCTCCTGAGTAGCTGGGATTACAGGCATGTGCCACCATGCCCGGCTAATTTTTGTATTTTTAGTAGCTACAGGGTTTCGCCATGTTGGCCAGCCTGGTGTTGAACTCCTGACCTCAACTGATCCACCTGCCTCTGCTTCCCAAAGTGCGGGGGTTACAGGCGTGAGCCACTGCGCCCAGCCTACATTCATTTTATTGAATATGTATTTTAGCTTTCATTTATCCCCCAAGAGTTCCTTATTCTCTAATTGGTCATTTTTCATATTTTACTCATTGTCTGGATGCAGTATCTTATATCTCTCAGGATATGATTATAGTTTTAATTTTTTGATAAAGTTACCCTCTGTTTCTGCAGCCCATGCATTTTGATCTCGCCTTTCCCATGTTTGAACAGTAAAGTATTGTAAAAGTTAAGAAGCGTGGATTCTGGGGCCTGACTCTGTTACTTACTTGCTGTTTGACCGTAGGGATTTTAACATTTGCTTTGTCATCTCTGGCATAAATATAGATGTATCTACTTCATTGGGTTCCCATCAGCATTAAGTTAATCAACGTAAAACATTTAGAACATTGCCTGCCATATAATTAGAACATTATCTTAATGTGGTGTAATCTGATAATCCTCTCATATTCCTTTGATTAGGGTTATCTTGCTGGGGTTTCTTAATATCTGGCGAGCCTTGGTTGTTCATATTTGAGAAGTACTAGCATCAATGGAAGCTCTGTGTAGGTGGTACATTGTGTAGGCAGGCCATATTGATTGTTGGGCTTTTACTCTGTGTTGTTAGGATGGTAAGCCGTTTTACCTGCCCATTCTCTCTCCGTTCCAGTTTAGAAACCATACTTTATTTTTAAGGTAGTTAGAAATGCTTGAGAGCCATATAGTATCTTAAGCAGAAAGGATAACTTATTTTCACATTTTCTTCTTGTAGCATTATTGGCACATAAAAAAGGATATTTCTGGATTCATTTGCTAAGATTGTGATGTAGAACAAAGAGAATAATATGTTATTTCGCACATTCACAGCAAAGTGTGTAGTTGTGTGGCTTCTTTGTCTTTAGCAATAAACTGATGGGCATTTTACAGAAGTAGATACCTGAGAGGGAACTGACCACCAGGGATGAATGTATACCAAAGAAACAAAAGAATAGGCACAGTGGCTCATGCTTGTAATCCCAGCACTTTGGGAGACCAGTTGAGCCCAGGAGTTTGAGACCAGCCTAGGCAGCACAGTGAAACCTGTCTACAAAAACTTTTTAAAACTTGGCCGGGCATTGATGGTACGCGCTTGTAGTCCAAGCTACTGGGGAGGCTGAGGTGGGACAATCTCTTGAGCCTGGGAGTTTGAGGCTGCAGTGAGCCATGTTTGGCTCTGCACTCCAGCCTGGGTGATAGAGTGAGAACCTGTCTTAAAAAAAATTTTTTTTTTTAAATTATAAGGCTGGAAGTAAAATTTGAGTGCAATGGAAATGGAATTGTAGGTGAAATAGCTGATGTTGGACTGTGAGTGCTGTTGCCATTCTAGAGACTAGATATATAGCCAGGTAAACCTTGTGAAGGCAAACTTACAAATGAGGAAAGAGATGGAAAGGATGAAGATGTCTCCAGGGAGTGACACTAATGAAAAACTTCACATTAAAGGGACTCTTGGAGATACCTAATGACATTGGAAGATCAAGTGATAAAATGCTAGAACCGAATCCAAACTTAGGAGTAAAGACAATTTGCCAAGGAATGGAAAAGATGCTTGTTCTATATCGTAAGTTAGAGAAGGAGAAAAAGAAGCATATTTTTTCATTCAGAAACAAAACCCTTGATTCTCAATGTTTCTACTGTCTTAGTCTACTAAATATTAGTATTTTTTGTTATGCATTGAACAGAGTTTTTAATACTTTCACACAATTTTTTTCATTGTTCAGTTTTTGTTTCTAAGGCTTAAAGATTCATACTCTTTAAAAGGACTTTTGGACACATTTTTTAAAGGTCACAGAACAATTGTAATTTTCCCCCAACGATTATTAAGATCACTTTGCATAGTTTCAGCAAGCAGGACATTTTTGTGGTCCTGCACTACTGTGCAAAGTGAAGACTTGACTACATGCACTTTTTTAGTTGAGTGTACAAAGTAACAGCTTTCTCTTTTTTGGGCAGAGTTGGGAAGAAGATGAAAGCAGAAAATGTGGTTGCTCGCTTTGCAGGAGCAGAGCTGCGGAAGCACGTTGATTGCTTTCAGAGCACAACCTTGTGATGAAAACATTCAGGCATTTAATCTATTTTATAATTTATACCAGATTATAAAACTAGACTCACCCTTTATTCATATCAATGAATCTACTTAAAAATTTATTATTTTTTTATTATTTTTAATAGAGACAGGGTTTCACCATGTTGGCCAGGATGATCTCGATCTCTTGACCTCGTGATCTGCCCACCTCGGCCTCCCAAAGTGCTGGGATTACAGGAGTGAGCCACTGCGCCTGGCCTCAACGAATCCACTTTTTATGCTGTTGTGAAAATTTATTCATTATGATGAATTCAAGTATAATTACAATAGGTACATTTTTCACATTGAAAACTAGATGTCAAATAATGTTCCAGAATCTTTTGGTATAAGATGGTTTTTTGTTTGTTTTTTATTTTTCGAGTTTTACTCCATCTCGAAAAATAAAAATTGAATGGTGCAATCTCTGCTCCCTTCAATTCCTCCTGGATTCAATTGATTCTCCTGCCTCAGCTTCCCAAGTAGCTGCGATTACAGCTGTGTGCCACTATACCCAACTAATTTTTGTAGTTTTAGTAGAGATGGGTTTTCACCATGTTGGCCAGACTGGTCTTGAAGTCCTGACCTCAGGTGATCCACTCGCCTCAGCCTCCCAAAGTGCTGGGACCACAGATGTGAGCTACCGTGCCTGGTCTAAGATGTTTAATTGGAAGTCATTGGATCTCAACTGCACACATGTAAACTAACTCTTCTGGCCAATCAGAAATTATATCTGATCATTATACTGTATATTACTTACACATTGCTGGTTGAATTACTCTCAGTACTAGATATATGGTTTTGTTGTAGATGATGGTAGCTACGATGACACCAGAGAAAAGGCTCTTTTTAGCCCAAGAAAAATTTTAAAAGAACGTTGAAAACAAGCAGAATGGATACATAAGAGTTATGCATCTGCTCATAGAAAGGCAATTTCCAACTGATGTGTAAAAGGAAAATGAACCTGTTCTATTCTGACATAAAAATGGTGCACAGTATTTCACTTGCATTTTAAAAAACAGAATCAAGATCATATGCAGCATTTACAAGTATCTTACCTTGTATCACAATGCAGGATTTCACTGCTCCCCACCAATGTACTCTGAATTTCTGTATCTGTGCTTCTGTGATATAAAATGGGGTGAATTTGCTGAAACTTGCCCTCAGGGTTTCCATCCTTAACCAAACCCTATTATATATTGGAGGGTCCGTGGCCTTTCTTTGCAAAACAAAGAATTAAAATAAACATCAACATCCCAACACAAAATATACCTAACTCTTTTTAAATAATGAGCAATGATTTATTGTCATTAGATGCATTCTCCCTCACTCAGGAATAAGAGATATTTAATTAGTTAATTTATTTATTCATTTATTTTTAGAGGGAGGCTTGCTCTGTTGCGAGGCCAGAGTGCAGTGGCGCAGTCTTGGCTCACTGCAATCTCCGCCTCTCAGGTTCAAGTGATTCCCCGGGCTCAGCCTCCTGAGTAGCTGGGACTAGAGGCGTGCACCACCACACCTGGCTATTTATTTGTATTTTGGTAGAAATGGGGTTTCACCATGTTGGCCAGGATGGTCTTGATTTCCTGACCTTGTGAGCCGCCTGCCTCAGCCTTCTAAAGTGCTGGGATTACAGGTGTGAGCCACTGTGCCCAGCCAGGAATAAGGGATCTTCAACAGTTTCTTCTTTATCCACCCAGGTCAAAGAAAAAGCCAAAGTGGTCACTATATATTAAAATTTAGACATTAACTTTTAGTTTCTCTAAGTTTTTAGCTTTAAAAAAATGCCAAAATGCTCATGTTCTGGTTTTCTGTGGTTTAAATAGCAATGTAGGACGACAACACTGGCCTCTGCAGTTTTACAAAGGTAAGAACTCCCTTGGCATACAGAATGGCCAACAAAGGATCTAGCTTGATGGCAGCTGGGAACAAGTCTCACTTTCTGGAACTCATCATTTGGTGCTTCAGAGGCAGCATGCTTCTTTTCATTTGCCTGCTCCGTTATCTTGTGAGTGGCCTCTGTGACTATTTCTCCTCTTTTTGAGCTGCAGTGCCTGGCTCAATGACATCTTTATGATCAGTTCCTAGATCACTTTCCTTACCTGCTGGCTCTTCTGTAAGGACTCCTTTGACTTCCTTCCTTCCACCCCCACCCCTTCCTGGCATTCTCTTTAAGAAGCTAAGGCTCCGTGAGGAAGAGATGGTATTGGATTCCTCGTACCCTCTACCCTTTCCTTAGGGACGTGCAGCACTTAGGGGTGCAGGAGACCAGTTTTCTGCTAACATAGCCCCACCCAGTCGTTTGCTCACTCTACAGAGTTCTGTGACCCATGTGGCTATGCAGAGGTGGGACAGAAGATGCAGAGGCTAAGCAGAAGCTGAGATGGCTGCAGCTCTGAAGCAGGTGCTGGCTCAGCAGGTTGAGGTCTAGGAAGAATGGTTCACGGCAGGAAGGGGAAACGGAAACTGACTTCCCTGTCTCATTCCCTAAAGGTCTCTCAGATGGTACTATGGTCGGGGGGGTCTCTAAAGAAGTTTTATTATTTTTCCAGAGGGGAACACTCCATCTTGAAACCTAGGGTAATAATGTAGTATGTGCGTGGGTGGGCACCTGGGCTAGGCGCTCAGCCTTCTTTTTGTAGATTTTTACAGATTGTTTTCAGCTCCATGCCTGACTCATACCTTGTGTTTTGGTATCTCTGAGCCCTGGGATTCTCCTCTTCCCCCAGGAATAACCCCCCAGCCCCTAGTGCGGGGTAGATGTTATAAACCTGGCTCCTGGTGTGTGTGTGGGTGGGATTAGTCCTACCCATGCCCAATTTCAGTTCTCTGCTTCACATCCCACTCTGTCTCAGAGTCCTGAACCTCTATCTAGAGTTCTGGAAAACCCCGTGCTCAGAGGCATTCCATCAGCTTGCATTTTTTGGTTCCTGCCATCCTTTTCTATCAACTTTCTATCACCTAAACACACTTCCAGTGTGTATCTATTGGTAACATTTTCCTTCCACTCTCTCAGTGGTGGGTTTTGTATCCCTTTGTGATCCTCTATTAGTATTAGGAAGGCAGAGCAAACAATTGTATGCAATTAGCTCCCCATCTTTATCTGATTTCTCACATTGCTTTACACCACAAGGATTTCAACCAGTGGACTCCACCGGAAATGAGAAAAGTGAGACTCGGCTTTAAAGTAATATTTTATTTCTCTGGGCTGTGCACACTTAGGGCGTTAGATCCACAGATGGGCTCCTCAGCTGGGATGCTACTTGTGGCGATCATCTTCTCGGAAGCCCCACATTTTTGCTTTGTACAGAATGATGTCACTGCAGACCCTGAAGTGATTCAGCCTGCGGTCATGGCGTTCTGGGTTGACCTAGAAAGAAGGATGTAGCTTCAGAATGAAGCCTGTGACGACGCAGGAGGACCTGGGTTTGGAGTCGACAGACCTGGCTTCTATCAGGCTCCACCCTCCCAACCTGTTGTTGCATTGTGGGGGGAGATGGCCACATGTTCATCAGAAGAGTTGTGAAGTGGGAGGAGAATAACCTGCGCACAGCTATGACCCCCTCCTGTCCCACTGCCCGACTTGGAGGCCACACCTGCGGACTGTTTTCCCCATTAGAATGAACACTACATGAGGGGAGGTGCTGTACCTGCCTTAGTGTATCCGCAGCGCCTAGAGCAACACCCAGCGCACACTAGGTATTCAATGTATATTTGTTGAAAGAATGAATTTGTTGAAGGAGTCACGTAGAACCTGAGTAAAAGTCAGCACTCTGACACATCAGTCTTATAGAAGTTACACCATGCAAATAATTTAAAAAATGTATTTCCAGAAAATGTTACCAGGAGGCGAGAGGCTGAGTGATGGTCATTGAATCTGGTTTTGCCAGTGTGCCAGTACTGAGGATGGAGGTATCTTTTTTATCCAAGGTGAGCAGGGAGCTTCAGGTTGTGGCTGATCAAGCCTCTTCTGCCCCAACTACTTCATTCTGTAGCCCCAACTCAATTACCTCTTTTGGTTGTGCAACACCTGCATCTAATGGGTTTTGGGGTACACTTTCTTACTATGCTAGCAGTGCCCTTTGATGGCAGTGTCCCCAGGTTTATAATGATGAACAGCAGGAGTATCTGCAGACCCTTTGCAACTCCAGAGTGCCCCCTGATCTGGACACACATGCAGTCTGTGATCTGCAGAGCCTACGAAGGTCCCAGCAGGGCAGGCCACACTTGTCTTTCCTGTCATCGTAAGCACGAGATGTGTCCTGGAGGGTCAAAATGCAACATCTCCACATGCACACTTCGTACTTGTGTGAGCCAGGTCTTTACTCTTTAACAAAGTGAAGAATGGTGAGTTAATTTACTTGTGTGTTGCAGTATTTTTCTAAGTTGCTTCATGATCTATCTTGGCTGATTTCTATCTTCACGCCAACACTCCTTCCTTCACAATCTTTCTTCTCCCCAGCAAAGATTCTTTCCTTGAACAAACTCTACTCAGGCGCCCTGAAGTACTTTTCAACTAGGTCTGATGTTGGGATTTCCATTTCCTCTGCATTGTCCAATTCTAGCAAAAATCCTGCTAAGGTGATTTAACCAGAGCCCCCCAACCTTTAATATCTGATCACCATCGATATCTGATTGGGTTCCTCATTCTCCACCACTCTCCAGGTGATGTCTGATCCTGCTGGCCTGCTTTCAGCAAGCACCCTGTTAGGTGGAAGTTAGCCAGAATCTGCCCCTCCCCCTCGTGTTTCCTCCTAGTATTTTTCCATCACCGACCCTGACCTTGCTCCTTGGCTACACACTCACAGTTGCGCATGCTGTTATCAGGGTTGAGGCCAGTCTCCCTTTCTCCCTCACTGCAAAACCCTATAGTGATGCCGATGCCTTTCACAGTAGTTTCCCCACTTGAAAAAGTCTTCTTTCTGGTTTTTAAATTTAAAATTTATTTTTTTCCACTAGCACTTCCAGTACTATTCCTTCTGGTTTTTAATAATCATTGACCATTGGTCCATTATTCATATTTATATTCAATAACTGTCATTGAATACATGTTTTAATCCTTTTATTCATGTTAGACCTCCCCACCTCCTCTTTCTCTTTGAGTGGTTATCTTCTACAGCTCTCTAACCACATCTCTCCCTTTGTACCAAGGTCCTCCTTGTAGGTGTGTATATGCACATATATAGGTAAATACAGAAAAAAAGAGAGAAGAAGAAGTAAGGAAAAAAAGCTAGGGAAAAATATAGAATAGTTGCTTGGTAATGTCAGTGTTGAAGATTTTCCTAAGCAAGGCACAAAACTCAGAAACCATAATGAAAATGAGTGATGAATTTGAGGACGTAAAAATAAAAACCTTCTGCATGATCAAAGTCATACGATTTAAAGACTTGTCCAACATATGGCAGAAACTTCTTTGACTTGTCTATTCCATATGGTACATTTCTCCCTTAGAAACAGAAGCCCTGTATTCCTCGGGGTAATTGTGTGCTAAAGTGGCTAATTGTGCCCTTCCAATCGAACAAGGAGAGGACCCTTACTCACTTGTCCATTTTTTATGTTTTTAAATTTTTAAATGGTATTTATATTTTTTTAATTAATTAATTTTTTTTTGAGACAGAGTCTCACTCTGTTGCCCAGGCTGGAATGCAATGGTGCGATCTTGGCTCACTACAAACTCCGCCTCCTGGGTTCAAGTGATTCTCTGGCCTCAACCTCCCCAGTAGTTGAGATTACAGGCATGGGCCACCATTGCCCAGCTAATTTTGTATTTTTAGTAGAGACGGGGTTTCACTATGTTGGCCAGGCTGCTCTCGAACTCCTGACCTCAGGTGATCTGTCTGCCTCGGCCTCCCAAAGCACTGGGATTACAGGCATGAGCCACTGTGCCCAGCCATCTGTCCATTTTTGATGGATAAGGAAGCAGAACTCAGAGATATTGAGTGGCACACCCAAGACCACCTTGCTGATACCTGATCGAGCTGACTCAGGTATCTGTCATGAACACCTTTATTTAAACAGCAAAGATGCAGTGTCTACCATGTGCCAGGCACCGTTCCAGGTACTGCACCAATATCACCTCATTTCATCCTCATAACAAGCTTATGAGATAGGTACTGTAATAGCTCCATTTTACAACAATTAAACTGAATCATAAGAAAGCTTAGTAACTCGCCCAGCTGGTAAGAGTAGCCAGATTCAAGCCCAGGGATGTCGGGCCCTGCCCTATTCTATGTTCACCACCTACATTGCCACTGTGTTTCCTTGTGTTTTCTGAGGAAGGAGCCACGCTTACCAAGGGCTCTAAGTACCATCCAACTTCCTGGTTTTCAGTCTGTGTCTCTGGGTACTTCTTCCTTGGTCCCTGGGCAGCATGGTGAATGAGATTCAGAAACCTGGCTGGGAGACGAGGTATGAGTTATGAAGGAGTCAGGCTTTGGGACCAGAGGTTGGTCTGTGCCCTTTCCTGCGTCCACATTGTTCCTTTCAGGCAGAGCATCTGGGCCTTGGAGGTTTGCCTAGGCCTCGAGACCGGGGTGTCTGGTCCCTCCACTCATCTGTCAACAAATATGTGGTGAGCTTAAACTCTGTGCCAGGCATGGTTCTGGGTGCTGGGAATGCAGTACTGAGTGACAGCATGGTCCCTGCTCTCCTAGAGCTCATAGTCTAGATGGGGCAGAGGACACAGTACGCAGGTTTACAAAATGACACGATGGTGGCAGACAGGGATATTCGCTGTGAAGAAAGGAAAAGGTCACATGCAGGCAGCTGCTGCAGATGGGGCAGCGAGAGAAGGCCTTTCCAGAGGCCAAGCAGGAGCCAGCCCTGGGAAGAAGTGGAGGAAGAGCACACCACAGGCAGCAAGAGCAAAGGCCCCGAGGCATGAGCGAGTTTGGCCAGTGTAGCGCAACAGAGAGTTGTAAGAAGTGAGGTCATCTCTTATTTCCTTGAGCAGTGGTTCGTAGTTCTGTTGGGAGTGTAAATTAGTTCAACCATTGTGAAAGACAGTCTGGTGATTCCTCAAGGATCTGGAAATAGAAATCCATTTGACCCAGCAATCCTACTGCTGGGTATATACCCAAAGGATTATAAATTGTTCTATTATAAAGACACATGCACATGTATATCCATTGCCGCACTGTTTACAATAGCAAAGACTTGGAACCAACCCAAATGCCCATCAATGATAGGCTGGATAAAGAAAATGTGGCACATATACACCATGGAATACTGTGCAGCCATAACAAAGGATCAGTTCATGTCTTTTTCAGGGACATGGATGAAGCTGGAAACCATTATTCTCAGCAAACTAACACAAGAACAGAAAATCAAACATCACATGTTCTCACTCATAAGCGGGAGTTGAACAATGAGAACACATGGACACAGGGAGGGAACATCACACACTGGGGCCTGTTGGGGGTGGGGGGATTGGAGAAGGATAGCATTAGGAGAAATACCTAATGTAGATGACGGGGGATGGATGCAGCAAACCACCATGGCATATGTATACCTATGTAGCAATCCTGCACGATCTGCACATGTACCCCAGAACTTAAAGTATTTTTTTAAAAAGGTGAGGTCAAATCCTTATGTATTGAAATAAGCGTGGCTGCTGACACCAGATGGATTTGCAGCTCCGTAGTTCTCCTGCCCTATCAAGTCTCCACCAGAGAAAGGCAGGCAGACAGTGGAATGAACCTGGCTTTGGAGTCAGCGCTACTATTGGCTTATCAGGTGGCATCACTTCTTTGGGCCACACTTCACTCATCTGTGAAATGGGAGGAAAATGTCTACTCAGCAAGATGGCTGGGAATGAAATGAAGGAAGGTGACTCAAGGGACTGCCATTGGGCTGGCACATCCTGTACGTAAGGGAGAGAGCAGCTAACTCCTGCCTGGCTTTCAGGACCTTCATTTCCTGTTCTATTTCTTATTGCTACAGGTTCTCAGCTTGCACCCTTTACCCTAGTCAGGAGAGTGCACTACAGATAGCACCTTACTGCCTGTGACGACCCCTCCATCTGTCTATTGACTTGTCTGCCTCCTTCATAATGCTCTGAGATCCTCGGCTCCCCCATTTCCCATCCCAGCCACGGTCATCCTTCCTTCACCAAATTTTGCTCAAGGAAGGTAGAGAGGAAGAAGGAAAGCTTTCCAAGAGGGATCAGGTTTTTCACCAAATATCCCTCCTCCCTCGTTCCAAAATAGGGCCCTCTCTCCACCTGTATGTTATGGCCATGCCAGACTACTTGCAGTCGTGTTTCCCATTTCTGTACCTTTCCATAGAACTCAGGATGTTCTTCTGCAATCTTCTCCACCTCACCCTGTGGTCACCTCCTCCAAGATGTCTCCCCAGAACTCCACTGCCTGACCGAGGCACTTGTCTCCTATGCTGTTCTCACACCAGTCATGGTCCCTGTTTACTTGTCTACTTATTTCCAAGTCTACTTCTCTTCTTCGTTATTCTACAAGATCACCCCACCCAGCCCCAGCATAGAGACTATCCAATAATGAAAATAACCATGGGACTAATATTTCCTGAGGACCATGTACCAGCTACTGTTCTGTGCACTGGCATTGTCTTGTTTAATCCCTGAGAAATGGGCTAAGAGAGGTGAAAAACCTACTCAGTGCTACAGTTAATGGGTAGCAGAACCAGGATCTGAACTGAGTTAGTATGGCTTCAGAGCTTGTGCTTGTAACACATATGTGTTTGATGAATGAATGAAAGCAATGTTAAGGCCAGCAGAAACATTAGTTGGCTTGACAGTTATAGTTGAATATGTCCATCTTTTAACAATTTTATTTAATTTTTTTAAAAAATTCTTTTTTATTCTATCTGCCACAGACTGTCTGACTGTCTGTCTGTCTTTTTTCGAGCTTGGCTAGTGAGAGTCCCATTTCCAGGATCAAAGCAGAGGACTCTCATGCTTGCTCCAAAGTATCGCTATCCTGAGAAGTCTCCCCAGCCAGTCTGCCTCTCTGGGCTCTAACTCAATGGCATTTCAAACCCCAGGACTCACCATCTGCAGGTTCCTCCAGGTTATCATGCCAAGACATGGGCTTCCTGGTGACTGTATGAACTAGAAAAAAAAAAAAAAAACAGCATCACAGATTCAGATTAACACATGAATTCCCTGCCCTCTCTAAGACCCACCTTAAACAGGGCACCCATTTGGCACTCACTGAATTTCTGGTACATGCCAGGTATTATCCTGGGTGCTAGGATAATACACAATTTGATAAGGCCCTCAAGAACCTCACAATCTAGAGTGGAACTGCCCAGAATAGTGGTCACCAGCCACATGTGGCTCCTTGAATTTGAATAACTAAAGTTAAATACAATGAACACTTCAGTTCCTTAATCACAGTAGTCACACTGCAAGTGCTCAATGGTCACATGCGGTTAACAGCTACAGTTCTGACTGCAGCCAAGATAGAGAACATTTTCATCACTGATAAATTATCTTGGACAGTGCTGGCCTAAGAGGAAGGCCAAAGAGGTTTGCCAGGCAGTGATCTATGTTCAGGAGGGCACGTGGTAACAGAGGAGCAGCACCCATATTCATCCACTCCGCTCGTAATTGCTGTGCACTGGAGAACAGGCTGTAAACAAGACAGAGCTCCTGTAACCCCTGAGCTTTTAACACAATTTGTGGTGACAGACAATAAACATGTATATATTACCAGGCAAATATCAGTGTGATGGAGAACAGTAAAGCAGGTTATGGGGATGGAGAGTTGGCGTCAGGGCTGGGGTATGGGCGATGTATCTCTAGGGAGATACATATGAGCAGAGTTTTGAACGAAGTGAGGGAACATGCTGTGGTGTGGGAAACATAGGAGTGTGAGCCTGGGGAGTTTGAGAAACATCAAGAAAGCCAGAGTGGGTCCAGGGGAGTGAGCTGGATGGAGAGTAGTGGGAAACGAGCAGACACCAGTAGAAACCAGTGGTCTCCATGCTGCTTGTCTCAAACTCCTACCAGTAAAAGAACTTTAGAGCATGCACCCTTAATAGATGTACACCATATGATCTTTATGTACTATTATCGGTATATTAGCAAAAAATTTCTATATAAATGAAAGTAATCAATACAAGTTGTAATATTATCTCACTTTATTCCAATGGCTCACATGCTTAAGCAACATGAGCTGGGAGACAGCATTTTCCCTAGAGAGCATGAAGGTTGCCTGAAGAGATTGTTTGCATTGCTGGAATGAACCCAGTTTGAACGGCTTTGGACACTAATTTGCTTTACTGAAACTAGCGATTGGGGGTTCCAGAAGAAAACTAAGTTAGGTAGAAGGAAAGTGAAGGTAGCACATTTTCTCTATAGAGCCAGGCAACAAAGTGGACTTTACTAATCAGGCACAGAGCTGGAGATACATTCAGGAAGAAGCCACAATGTTTATGCAAGTAAAGTGTGAAATGATATGATGCATTTAGGAAATCCATATATTTAGAAATGGCTGGGGAAAAGGAGTACGTGAGGGGTTCATCAGCAAGGGGTGGTGCAGAGCAGGCACCAAAGTATTTTTTAAAGGAGCAGGGTAAAGTGGGGGACAGGAGTATGAGATGAAGCTGGCAGGAACCAGAGGCAGATCCAATGCGCCTTGTCCTGATTGATTTAAACTTTACCTCAGAAACTATGAGAAGGATTTTAGGTGGGATTGATGTGCTCTAATTGTCCTCCTAGCATAGCGCTAGCTAGCAAGGGTGTAGAGGTTTGGTTGGAGGGGCCAACTTGGAGGGAAGGAGAATGAATTGAGAGTCCATCAGACCCATCCAGGCAGCAAGGACGAGGCCCTGCAGAGGCTTCAGGAGTGAGGATGTAGGCAGAGGCAGTTTGAGATGCTTCTTAGAGCATGAAAATACCTGAGCAGAGGCAGGGAGGAATCAATATGCATGATGGTGTCTTTCATCGAGGCAGGAACAGGTGGGTCAGGGGAGAGGAATGGTAATAAGCAGGACTTGTGCCTTTTTTAAGTGTGTGGAGGGAGGGAGACCTTGAGGAGGACTTGTAGGCTTCTAGTGATCATGAGAGTGAATGATCCAGATCACGAGAGCGAATCATCAGGACCTTTAGCAGAGACAGGGTATTCTGGAACAGCAGAGGGTAGGGAAGGTGGGAATGAGCCTGGCTTTCCTCCTGCTGGATGTGAGGTGCCTGTAGGTTGTCCAGGAAGGGGAGCTGGGAGGTGGTTGGGCACGTGGGTCTGAAGCTCTCCATTTCAGGCCCAGTGACATTCAGGGGAAGCTGGTGTGACAGGACAGATCAAACAGCAGGGCACACAGTGACAAGAGTGGAGGGTAGGGCTGTTTTATCAGGGAGCACCCCAGAACGTTCCGAAGGACATTATCAGAAGCCTGAAGAAAAACCTTTCACTTTTTAAAAACAACCCAAAATACAAACAGAAACAAAACACAAACAGCCTGAAAAATTATTTCAAAAGTAAAATCATAAAAAGTTATACAAGCTTCTTTTTCCTACAACTAAAAGATTTAATCCTCATGCGCATGAACTTTAATATAGCGAAAGCATCTGATATCATGTGGCCTCTCCAAAGTCACAGTTCCTGAAATCTAGGAAAGGGGGCGGGTGCTGGGGAAAGCGTCTTCTTTGCTGGGACCGCCTTCCCACCCCAAGGCTTGGAGGGCTCCTCCTTCCCCGGTGCCCTCCCGCTCTCGCCCTTCCCGCACCCCGCCCTGCCCCTCACTCTTGCAGAAGGGATTCACGTGATACTGCGTGTAGAGTTTCTGGGTTCGTAGCTCCTTGAGGTACCGTTCCCGCAAGATTTGGTTCTGATGGACCTCATCTGGAATCACCTTCTCGCTTGGTTGTCCTGCCATGGCCTTGGGCTGCCCGGTGCCCTCTCGCCTTTACCTGCGTCCTGGAGCTTCCGCTGTCTCCAGGCAACGCGTCCCCGCGGTCTCCAGGCAACGCGTCCCCGCGGTCTCCAGGCAACGCGTCCTCGCGGTCTCCAGGCAACAGCGCTCGGGTAGCGCTGTCCGGTGGTCTCACTCGGCCAGCCCATTCCCCTGCCTGCATCACCCCTCTATTTGCGCCCGCCTGTCGGGATCTTATTTCGCACCCCGCCCTTTTCTGGCACTGGACTCACCTGCCCTAGCTTCTCAGGCCCCCTCTGGTTTACCGCCAGGAAACGGCTTCCTGGCAAGGGGCAGACCCAGGAGGTAAGGGACAGATGATTGGACCTCACCTTGGCCAACCATTTCCTTAAAAACCTTTTCGGAGGAGTCAGAAGCTTCTCCCACCTTAAAGCAAATGCCCAGAATCAAAACCTCACAAAAAACCCAGAGATTTCCTCTCTGAGAAAACGTTCTGGCCAATGTGGTCATGATTAACAATGTGATGATACAGACAGAATAAACATTTCCTAATTAAGGAATATGTTGACTTTATAGTTTGTGTATTTTTAATGTTTGTGTTTAAAATGCACATGATGTAGTTTTACCATCTTAGCCATTTTAAGTATTACAGTACAGCAGTATTAAGTATATTCAAGCTGTGTGAAACCAATCTCCAGAACTTTTCATACCCGTTAAACAAGTTTCCCCTTTCCCTTCTCTCCAGCCCCTGGCATTTGACTTTTTATTTCTATGAATTTAAGTCTTCTAGATACCTTAAATAATGTAGTTTATTTGAAAAGAATAGCCAGGCTCGGTCGCTCATGCTTGTAATCCCAACACTTTGGGAGGCCAAGGCGGGTGGATCATCTGAGGTTCGGAGTTTGAGACCAGCCTGATCAACACGATGAAACCCCATCTCTACTAAAAATACAAAATTAGCCAGGCGTGATGGCCATGCCTGTAATCCCAGCTACTAGGGAGGCTGAGGCAGGAGAATTGCTTGAACCCGGGAGGCAGAGTTTGCAGCGAGCCGAGATTACATCACTGCACTCCAGCCTGGGTGACAGAGCAAGACTCCATCTAAAAAAATAAAAAATAAAAATAAAAAAGAATCAAAAGTAGGTCTAGCATGGAGAAAGAAGCCACCCCTGGTTTTAGTAAGCACCTAAATATTGACTGAAGACTGTGCTCTTCCCCACTCAGTACTTCATTCATTCATTCACTCAGGACACAATGTGAATTGCAGAATGTTTTTAGTCTGGAGCACAGTGTTGAGCTTTTTGTTATTGGATCGTTTGTCTTTATCAATTTGTCGGAGTTCTTAGTGTATTATTTTGAGGGCTGTGTGTGCTGCAAATGTATTTTCCCTCTGTGTGACTTGCCATCTTCATGGTGTCTTTTGGACATCAAAAGTTAGATGTAGTAAAAAATATTAGTATTCTCCTTTACGATTATTGTTTTTAAATTTTCATTTAAGATCTCTTTTTCTAATTTGATGATCTGAGGTTATTTTTTATATTACTTTTTAGAGCAGTGCTGTTCAATGAAAGTATGAGCTGAGCCACTCATGTAGCTTAAAACATTCAAGTATCCGCATTAAGAGAGCAAGAATTAGATAAAACTAGTTTTAATAATGTGATATTTAACTCCGTATATCCAAATTGTCAGTTATTCAGTGTTTGAATATACAAATTACTGAGATATTTTACATTGTTTTATCCTACTAATTTCAAATCCAGTGCAGGTTTTATACTTCATAACACATCTCAAGTGCTCCATGGCCATCTGTGGCAGAGCTATTAATATTTAAGAGGATTTGTTCTTTTACTCTTTCTCACTGAGATCTGTGTTCCACTTGAAATTGATTTTCAAGTGCAGTGTGAGGTGGGAATCTAGCTGAATTTTTTCTTTCCAAAAGAGTATCCAGTTGACCCTGCACCAACTTATTGAAGAGACAGTCCTTCGTCACTGCTGTGGTGTGCTTCTGTGGCCATAAAGTGTCCCCATATGTGAAAGTTCATTTCTGGACTCTATTCTGTGCCATTGGTCTATTTGTCTAAGCTGACAGCACTACACTATCTTAATTACCCTAATTTATGTAACAAGTTCTAATATCTAGTAGGGAAGGATGTCTTCTCAGAAGAGTCTTGCCTCTTCTTGGCCCTTTGCTTGTCCACATAAATTGTAATCATCTTGTCAAGTTCTCTAACAATACCTGTTGGGATTTTTATTGAGATTATATTGAATCTAGGCATCAGTTTGAGGAGAGCACTTCTTAATGTCATGTGTTCCTCTGATGCTATCATCTGCTCAGGATCTGGACACATTCTTGCCTTCTCGACTGCTACTTTTCCCATTCTGAAGTAGAAGCATTGGCTGAGCAAGAGTCTCAACCCTCAGAGCTGTGACGAGAGCACAATGGAGAGACCCTCCCCTTTTTGCAGGAGACACCTCTTAAGGGCAGAAAGTCCTTGGCATGGCCCTGGAATCCTAGGATGAAGAAAACAGAGTCTGGGAGGAACCAGACTGAAGAAAACAAACAAACCTGAGTCCCCATCTGTCTACAGCGGGACCTTGTGCCCTATGTGTGAGTTCTCAGGGGTTGCACTCACTAGAACGCAGGGCAGATCAACAGGACTTACCCTCCAGAGAACACACTAGATTATTTCCACTCCTCACTCCCCTCTTCATTCTCTCACTGGCCCTGCAGTTTGCTCTGTGGCTACAGACCAAGTTCCATGGAGAAGCCAGTTCAAATGTAGAGAGGCTCATGCAGGCTGGCTGACCAGGCAGGAGAGGAAAGGAGCAGACTGTCAAGAAAAGGGAAATCTCTGGCAGCTGAAGAGTATTACCCAGTTGGGAATGGAGATGAAATCGGGATAGTAGTAAGGTAACCACGATCCGGTCATGGAAAAGGGGTCCTGTCACTTACCAAGGCTGAAGGTGAGGTTTGCTGTTGTCTTGCATTCTTCATGTCTACCAGGCCAAGCTGCTGGGAATCCACCATCCTGGCAACTCAGAACCACCCCAGAACTGTCCCAGCAGGAGGGAAACCATCTCTCCAGGATGAGAGCTGTGAATTGTCATGTCTGGTTGGGGATGGCTTGATTGGGAGTGGGAGCTAGAGTACAGGGGACTAGAAAGAAGGGCTAGGAGGAGGAACAGGGGGAAAGGGAGGGGAGTATGGAAATTGAAACCCCGATGAACATGGTGGCAGCAGATGCACGGTTTCAAATCAACAGGGGAAGATCAGGGCAGATCCTTGCTTAGGTAGTGGATGGGGCTGACATTATTCAGAGAGGAGTAACAGATAGGGAAGGAACCTGAAAAAGTGGGATGGCACAGGAGACTAGGGTGCAAGCAGGCTTGGCCACTGAGGAAAAATGGCAGTAAGGAGGGCTGGATGGAGACAGCATTAAGGATCAGAAAAGGTGAAGTCTTGGGTTGAGAAAGATAAATTTGAGGTAGCTTGCTTGGCATTCTTTCGAATGGGAGCTCTAGTTACTTGTCCAAATGAGTCACTGGGATGTGGCCAGACCTACTCCAGCATTGATCTCACATACAGCCCTCACATCCTGCCGTAACTGAAAGCCCATTATGAAATGTATATCCCTTTGGTCTAGTGAGCAGGTCCTGCCAATCAGGGAAATGGTACCCGTTTCTAAGGTTAAGAGTGGTCATGGGAAATGGCAAAGAGAAGAAATGGGACTGTAGTATTAATCCTTGTTCTTGGAATACCATATAGTTTTACCCTCAGTAGGCAAAAATTGACCAAAGGGCTAGGATAGATTTAGAGGGCTGGAGCCTAGGAGCGCAGTACTGAAGCAGGAACTGGGGAAATGGAAAGAAATCAGTGCCCCAGTCTACTTCTCTGACAACACTGTTCAAAGCCCTTTTCATTGCATTTACATCATTGCATGAATATATATGATCAGAGATGTCATGTCCATTTTACGATGAGGACAGTGAAGACCAGAGAAGGAAGTCCCATAGGTGGGCAGGGGGTGACAAAGCAGATGGGACTAGAACCTGGGCCAAAAGAGGGGGCAGGTAGGAGGGAGCACAGAATGGCCCAAAGCGCGCAGCAGCATTGCCTCCTCCTGCGTGTCTGAACAGAATCCTGTAGGGGGCGCTTCAGAGCAGAACTGAACATTGTGGAGCATACAGTCTTGGTTCCTGTGTTCCCTTGGTTCGATGGCTTATTCTTGACTGGAACCATAAACACAGGGCTGAAGCTGGCAGGATGACTGCCCACTCCTGATGCCGAATGACTAGATTTGGACTTTCTTGCTCACTACCTTAGATGCCTTTTATAATGGTTGTACTAGTTTACACTCCCACCAACAGTGTGTATTTCTTGGATTTCTCCATATCCACACAAGCATTTGTCATTTTTGCCTTTTTGTTAATACTCATTCTATTTGGGGTGAGGTGATATCACACTATAGTTTTGATTTGCATTTCCTTGATGATTAGTGATGTTGAGCACTTTTTTTTAATATACCTATTGGCCGTGAGAAATGTCTATCCAGGTTTTTTGCCCACTTTTAAATCAAATTATTTATTCGTTTTGTTGCTATTGAGTTGTTTGATTTCCTTAAATATTTTGGATATAACCCCTTGTCAGATGCATGGTTTGGAAATTTTCACCAAAATTCGCCATTTGCTTTCTACTTCAGCCACTTATGGGCATATCTGGTCCTTCTCATTACTGAAGAATTGTCCCACTTCTGAAACCACATTTTCAGATATCCTGTTCTCTGACCATGACTTCCTGTCCTTACGGTGTAATCACCACTCTATTCCTCTCAATTCACTTGGCCTCCAGCCCACCACCCTTTCCTTCTCTGTATCTAGTAACTAATTCCCTAGCTGTCTTTACTTCCCTCCTTACTTACATCAGAGTCTATGATTTTATAATTCCAGTGACTTCTTAAAACCAATATTATTGATTAACGTGGTCTTATATTATTTTGTCTCACTTTCCTAGAGAGAAAAACTCAACCTGGCTGATCCGAGCTATTTGTTTTTCCTATGGTGCTGAATGCTGTTGAAAAAAATATTTTATAAAACCTAAAACATACTAAATTACTGGTTTAACCTCAACTCTATACTCTATCTCAAACAATACCCACAATACTCAATTCGTAGAAGTTGTTGGAATAAAAAAATGGAAACCAATCTAAATAGTTATAA